TTTAGGCTCCTAGTGAACCTATGTATGTTAATTGTTTTAGCATTCTTGTGAATTAATTAACAATTTAAATTAGTTTTTTTTATTAATTCATATTGAATCCCACTTAAATTCATATTTATCCGTTTAATTCAAGTGGTTTATGTTTATTACAAATAAAAAAAATTACAAAATTAAAAATATAAAATTGCACACCATAAGGCAATTGACATGATGTTTATATGTTGCATTTAAAAGTAGAGTAACCGCTTAGTAAGTGAGATTGGAAAACCTTTGTGGATTCAAAGGCAAAGTACCTCACCCAATAGGTATGCGTGAAAACTTTTATTTTTCATTTCTTTTGCATCATTGATTTGTATAAAGCAAAAAGGTATATTAACTCATCCACTTTGAGCGAAAACCTTTTATGCTTCACTTTTAATTGATCGTTTTGCATCATGAAATTTTGGCTTAAACATTGCATAAAGAAACTTGACTATTCATAGAGTGTAGCTGATATTAGGTAGTATAATTAAGATACACCTTCCGGTTATATCCATCAAGATTAACCGGGTCCATACGCGGTAGAGTCCATCTAGTTTTCTTTGTGATCTACATTTCCATTATTTCATTATGCTTTTGTTTCATTACATAAGTAAGTAACTAATTGTTCCTAATTAATTGGCGTATAATAAAAGCACATCAATCTTTCTTTTGTGTGTTTGTTTTGAGTTTCTATAAAAATTAAATTCCTTTAGGATTCCTTACATTTCAGGAAATACTAACGTGCAGATCTGAACTAAAGTGAGTCCTACTCTGAACGCTCAACTTGACAAAGGAAGCTATAGTCTGAGAGATTGTGAGGTGAACACAAGTGAAGGTAAGGGAGAGTTTAATTATTTCCACTAACCTTTGTCCTTGTATGAACCTCATCATGTCTCACCACAGTGCAATAGTAGGCCCATCACCATGGAGGAGAGGATCATGGACATGTTTACCCAATTAAGTGTCCAAATGGGGAACTTGATTGCACGAATAGATCATCTAGAAAGGGGAGGCCATCACAGCTATGCCTGATGCCATGTAGTGCAAGAAGAAACAAGGTCTTGTGGTGATGATACTGACGATCGATGGAGAGGTCATCAAGAGGAGATGGGTGGGGATATTCATGATTTTAAATTGTAGGTACCAACATTCTAGGGGAAGAATGGCCCGAGGCATGAATGGATCGTCTAAAAAGAGGAGGCCATCGTAGCTGTGCCTGATGCCATGTAGTGTAGAGGAAAACAAGATCTTGTGGCGATGATACTGATGATCGAACAGGGAAGTTGCTGAAGGAGACGAATGGGGATCTTCATGATTTTAAATTGCAGGTACTAGCCTTTCACGGGACAAATGACCTCGTGGCCTACCTTGAATGGGAACAAAAGGTCGATCGTATTCTCAATTGTTAAAACTACAGTGAAGAAAAGAAACTCAAGTTAGCAACTTTTGAATTCACAGAATATGCCTCTGTCTGCTAGATCAGTTAGTTGCTCTCAAGGATCGGGATGGTGACACATCGGTCACCACCTGGAGAGAATTGAGATCCATCATGGGGAAGTATTTTGTGTAAACCCACTTCGACATAAACATAAATCTAAAACTTTAATACTTGACTCAGGGTTCCAAGACAGCAGAAGAGTACCACAAAGAGATAGAGATGACTGCGATTCGGGTTATGGTAGAGGAATGCCCGAAAACCACTATGGTTCGGTTCCTAGAAGGTTTGAATAAGAAAATTGCCAATATCTTGAAATTATAGAATTATGTTAACCTGGAAGAGATGGTACACAAGGCTATTAAAATTGTGAGGTAATTAAAAAGAAGAAGGACTAACAGGGGTTTTTTCAATGCCAATCCTTCAACAAGTCAGAGATGGGTTAGAAAGTATAAAGTCAAGAGGATTGAAGATAGAAAGAGCAAACAACCTGCCATCAATCCCATAAGTAACCCTAATCCTCTATTTGGATGATGGTAAAATGTGGTTCGTTAATGTAGGGTATGGTAGTAGGATGGCGAAGTCATTTTTGTTTGGTGATGGTATGGTTACCTTAGAGTTTTTAATGGTATTCTAAAGGCATAATTTGGACAACTTTTTAAAACAATCGATTTGGTAGTTTTTGACGAGTTAAAATTTGTATTCCATTTATACCCTCATTAAATTTTTATAATTCCTATTTTACCCTTGAAAAAACCCTTCTCAGCAGCCCAACCTACTTTTTTTTTTCTTCTCTTATTCTCTTCTTTTTCAGTCTGTTTCTTTTTAGATTTTTTAATTTATAATTATAACTTAAAAATTTTAGTTTTAAATTAATTTTTTATACTAGCTATAAAAAATAAATTTTTATTCTTCATAGCAAATTTATTTTTTGATATTTTAAGAAAAAATTTTAATGAGAATTATAGTTTAAATAATTTCTCAAGTTAAATAACTTAATTATAATTTAAATAAGTATTTTTGTTCTTTTCTTTCCTTCAACATTAAAATATAGATAATTTGATAATTTGACTTAATATACAACCATATCAACTTATCAATCGAAATAAAACAGTTTAAAATTAATGTACTAATGTTGCTAGCACATTAATGTACTGATGTTGATATCAACCATATCAACCTATCAATTTGGTAATTTGTACTAATGTTGCCAGCAACTTACTAGTTGAAAGGGTAAGATTGAAGTGCATTTCGCACCCCCATCCCTACAAGCTGTATTGGTTGGATAACAACAAGGAGATCAATGTCACAAAATAGGTACGAGTTTCGTTCTCTGCTAGAAAATATGAGGATGAAATACTGTGCGATGTCGTTCCTATGTAAGTAAAACACTTACTGCTAGGACGACCATAGCAATATGACCGAGATGTCTGTTATGCTGGTGGGAAAAATCATTACTTCGTATGCATAAGAGGTCTCACCCATATCCTACCTCCCTTGCTCAGGAGGAAACCATACGAAGACTAATTTAAAATTAAGTCCTATGAAGAGTTTTACAGGATGACAAACCGAGGGAGTTAATAGCCCCAGAGGGACTAAGAACTACTTCTTCGTATAGGAGCAAACTGATGTTTTCAGTTTTGCTGGAGATTACTTTGTATTTTCTTTAGTCTTTATGTCCTTGGATGAGAAGGTAGCAGAGAATACATATTCGAGAATGAATCCTCTCGAAGAAAGAGGGGGATGGTTTAAAAATAACTAAGGAAAAGATTTGCGATAAATAGGATGTCCATGAGACTCTTGAAGTGAGGAAAAAACTGAATAAGGATGAGCTTCCTGGACATATTTGTAAGAATTTTCGAACAAATAATGACCAAACTAAGTCAAACCTGATACAAGTTTTAGACTACAAATCAAAGTTGAATACACTAAAAATTCGGTCTAAAGAAAGGTAACATCAGAAAAGTTAAGAAAATAAAAAGTTATCGGGTCTAACAACCAAGAAAAGACTTGGCCCACGAATCACGACCCAAGAAGAAGCCCAAAACATGATATGAATATGGGTACCCGTGATCTATACATGTGTTGGCGTTCCCACGTGTGAAGTATGGCCCCCACATGGGTGGGTTCGCCACCTGCACGGCTGAGCATACCACACAAGCAAGTAGCCAAGCCCACATGACCCAACCTACGTGATCGGTAGCCTAAGCTCGCATAGTAGCAGCAGTTGTGCGAACCCGACTCAACCCAAACAGGTCGCACAAGCTTGGCCCAACCTGAGTGACTCCCAAGGGCAGCCTATGTGGCTTGCCTCTAAATCTGAATAGATACAAATTTAGGTTTCTTCAATTTTTCCAACCTCTCCAATACTCCAAAAGCTGAAACAACTCTACCTAATTTATCCTATGTGCAAAATATGACAAATTTAAAGGTAGAATTCTACTCAAAGTTGAAGAGAAGATATCTTTGAAGAAATAGGATAAAGGGACTATTATTTAACATTATTTTAATGTAAATCTTTATCTTTAGAATTATTTAATTATCTAAATTAGGATAAGGATAAGAAATTTATTATTTAATTAATTATGTATTTGTTTTTTTTAGTTAGATTAAAACCTAGAGTTTGGATAGGAATCTTAAATTCTATTCCAATTAGAAGTAGTAATCCGGAGCTTACATAAATTCCCTAGCTCAAGCATTTTAAAATACATTTTGAGAATTAATAAAAGTTAAGCTTTGAGCTTTGTTAGCCTTGCTTCAACTTTCATCGATTCAACTATGATATCACTTATGATTAGTCCATTGCATTTTCATTTCCACTTTATCATCACTAATATCTTTTTTATGGGCGGGGAAATTAAGGTATCATTATATCTAAAAAAGTAAAAGAAAGAGTAAATAATTATTGACTAATGTAATAAATTTATTATATTAATATGAACTAAGTTGCACAAAAATTTATAAATAGATATTATTTTAATTTAATTTAAAAATAAAATAATTTTTTTTGTATATTATAGTAAGATTGATACCAATTTTCTATTTTTTTTATAGAAAAATAAACTGTTAGAATAAGTTTTTTTTTTTTAACTCGTTGTGTCTATCCAATTAATAAAATCTAACAACCCTCAAATATTTTTCTTTCCTAAAAAGATAATAATCTTATTAAAATTTAATCCAACTTATTTACTATAACTACATTAAAAACTTAGCAAATTGAATTATTAATTATACTGAATAAAGTATTATAAGTTATAATTTATCAACTTAGATAATTGATATAAAAGGGTGAGTACTATATTCTCAATAAAATAAAATTTGTGACCTTTAAATAAACATAAAAATATAAACTCCAACAATAATTTTATAATCACCTGGTGTAAAATATAAAATATGTTCGAAAATAAATTATTTGTTCTAGGAAACAAAAAAGTGTCTAGAAAAATTTTAAATCACCTTAAAATAAGAAAAAACAAAAAAAGCCACCAAAAGTGATATAACGGTCTATTTTAACCGGTTCTCTCACTTCTATTGGAAGAAATGATTTTAGAAGCCATCAAAACCCTTTAACCGAAAACAACACAGAATCAAAACCAGCCTCCATTCCTTTCTCAATCACCCGGTGCATCTGAGCTTTCTGCACCATCCTTCTTCTTTACCAAACTTTGAACCTCTGTAAACCCTAACAGCTACTGTTTTTAGCGAGAATACGCTTTTTGGCAAGTCACGCACAAGAAGCCCAATTTTAAACTTACCTGAGAAAGACATAAAAAGGGAGAAAAACGCCGAATTGATGCTGCAGATCAACCACTGTTCAGGCATTTCGAGAAGTAATCCACCAAAAACCCTAAATCAGAACCATTCCCTTTTAGGGTGGTAAACTGAAGCCGTATCAGAATGATTAATGGTTGTATTCACTATGCAGCAGCAGACACCTTCTGCACTATCCTCACACCAGAATCCTCATCCCCCCGCCATAGTTAGGTCCACCACATCCGCCACCCACCCGTCTCCTCTCTCTCTAGCTCCTATTTCCGTGCAAACAGGCCCCGGTTTGTCTGGCCAGCCGCCTGCATCGCCGGCTGTCGATCATGTAATCATGCCGGTGGCCCCGATCGTGGCCGCGAATCCCTCGGGTGACCCCGTAGTGAGGATGGGAGCTCCACTGGCGAGGGTTAGATTATCGGATATTGTGCCTTATGATGGGGTCCCTGTCGGTCCCTACGCGAGGGCTGTGGAGGCGCTGTCGGGGTCTTTGATGAGGCACAATGCAGCGGTTATCGAATTGGGGAGTGACGACGCGGCATTGATGAGGTGTGGACTTGAAGCTGCACGCTTGTATTTCAGAAGTGTGCCACAGAGTGTTTGGAAGGCCAATCGGGGGCTTTATATGTACAGGGCTGGAAGGTAGGTGCTTGTGATTCGTGCATGTAGCCAATTTAAAGAAACTTGATTGTGGTTTTTGCTATGTTATTTGAATTCTTTCCTCCCAAATCTTTCTCGCTTTCTCTCCTCTCACTTCTTGGTGTTGTTAAGTGATTCTTTTACTTTGAGAAATTGGTTTTGTAAAAGCTGGCAATTTGGTTATTAGCAGAAGATAATCAACATTTACTATGGTGAATTATTATTTCAGATTGATTTTTTAGTTTTTAAATCTGTTAACCTGTGCATTTCATGTTACCAACGTCTGGTTATTTACTTTTTGCCCTTTATCCTTGTGCTAGACAGTGCCACTAACTATACTAGTTGTCCTTCATAACCTTCACACACATAATGAATTTTTAGAAGTGGCTTTCACGCATTAGTTAAGATGGCATACCATCTTTTTATTATAATTTAATCAAACATGTTAATCCCATCTCCCCTTAATAATAGGCAAGTTTACTTATGGTCTTTCCGAAAAAGAAGTTTGTTTAGGATCTTAATATGTGGCAAGGTTAATCCACTAAAGACGTGAAAGAAAATGTTCATGAGATCAGTGTAGCTCTTTGGATAGATAATCAGTGGGTGTTGTTAATTCTGCCAGCAAACTTCTCAAAATTTTAGCAATATGGTGCCAAACACTAGTTTCCTTGCAGTCTGCACCGAAAGGAGGCTGAAGTAGCTAATTTGCAAGCTACTAGGTATGCAACCGAAAATGTGTGTGAACTGATTTCAGTCCACCATTCAATGGATTTCCTCACTTGTAAAACTTCTTATCTCCACGCCATCTAGACGTCAATTTCTATCACTGAATCTTCCTTATGTCAATCAGATTGCCCAACTTCTCCTTGCTCCACCTTTTAATATTTCTCCACAATATTTCCACCTTTTAATATATATGCATATATGCTTATATTTATTTCTTCTCCTCCAGAATCTCAATGATTAGGGGTTCAACTATTTGATTTCCTTTTTGGCTCGGATGGAAATCACCCTACTGAGTCAAGCTTAAATGATGCTCCTATCTGGAAGCTGTTTAAGGATAGAAAGTTTTTGGAGGTCTTATGTCTGGGTACTGACTCCTTAGCATGCTAGGCCATGATTTATCAGTTATGATGGCTGTGTGAATATGGGATAGAGTAGAAGGCAATAGAGGAAGAGAGGGAGAGAAAGTGGAAGAGAAAATAGAGAAGGTAGATTGCAGAGGGAGGATTAGAGAAATATCATAAGACTGAATTCATTGCATTCCTTACAATTTACATCCATTATAGAAGGTACAGCTGTCAAATAGGCTGGCAGTAACAGTAATATTCTTACTGTACAGTGACAGCTGTGACTGCAGCCTGCCATATTCTTTGGTTGTCCTACTAACCGAAATAACAAGACAAAATGCCAATAAAATTCCTAGCATGAATTAATTTCTTATTTCTTCTTCTTGCTACTAAGGTGATTCTTGACATCTTATAGTTATTTTTTTTACCGTCAATGAGACTTCAGAACTTTTTTTTAAGAGTATGGATCTACTCTTTTACCAAAACTATCATTACCCAGTTAACCCCTAAAGGACTATAGACAATAGACCAAGTTCAATGAGGGAATGGGCACCAGAAAAGGAGAGCTTGCTCAATTCTTCATCTCTTTTACATAGATAATACCCATTTAAAATGATATTTCCCCTTGACATAGAAAGCACCTCATCTTCCAAATTAGTTTCCATACGATGTCATATCAGTTCTTCTGCTCTTTGATGAACGGAGATAGTGGGATTTCACCAAAAAACCCCTTTCAAATCGAGCTTCCAGAATGGCTCTTCCAAGGCTTCATTTGCCTTTAACATTCGGACAAGCATTTGAATAAATTAACATATTCTTTCACCTGCGACCATAACATTTGAATAAATTGATATAAGAAAGTTCTCCATAGAACACATTTGGAAAATGAAAAATGGGCCCAAGAATATTATAAATATATAAGCTCTATAGGCTGTAAAACTAGAAATTCAATTTTTAATAAATTGAATATTCTATCTTACTCTTCAGTGAATACTTTCTTCTTTGTGGATGTTAAGACTTTCTTATTTTTTGGTGGGTTCCACTGAAATTCTAATGGATTATAGGTTGTGTGTCTAGCTTGGACGTTGTCAAGATACCTTTTTATGCTTGAATGAGATCATGCAAATCTATCTTTGCTTCGGTCGTGCATCAATTGGTATTGGTATTAAAGTATAGTGCACCTTGATCCATTAACATCACACTTCTACAGCCAAGCACAGCCCTATCCCCTTTTATTTTCTAAAAAATTGTGGCTAATAAACACGAAATCACAGATAAAAGTCCCCAAAATTGACAGTCTCCACCAATAGCTCCAATGATCAATGCTTAAAGGCTCACAACACGCCCGAGTATGGCCCTTTCACAGTGATGATTAGGAAGGAAAATACTTCACTTGCATGTCTTGTTCAAAGAATTTTTCTTTCCAAATGTTTTCCAATTTTTCATTTTGTAGAGTCAATAAATTGGTACTCAATTATATCATTGAGACTCGTATTAATGATAATATTGTGTCTCAAGCATTGGTAGATTACTTGGAATTACGAGTTGAGCCACTTCTTGACCTTATACATTGGATGGAAATGCGGAGTAAGTAAATTTTGTCACGTTCCTTTTTTTCTATTGGAGAGTCTTATGAAGATGAAATGTGTCTTGATGTGATTGACATGAAAGCTTGTTATTGGTACATATTGGAAGTTTAATATAAATGTCCTTTGTAGTCATAATTGAAATATCTATGTACCATGTGGGGATGGTAAGAAACTTACTTTACGAGACAATTCATAAGAAGCTTCTGAAGGAAATGAGCCAACTTCTCAGATAATTCAAAAGAGTTAATAACTGATGCAACAAAAAAGAAAAAAATTTAAACGTATATGCAAAATGAAGAGTCATGACTAGAGCCTAAACTGTGCAAGGAATGGAAAACCAGGTGGAAGAAATAATAGAAGAGCGAGTAGAGGAATAATATGAGTGCCAAGTCCTGAAACAAGAAAAAGAAATTGAAACATAGGTTTTAGTGATGATCAAGTTCATGGTGGAGATAATTTTGAGATTGATCAGCGTATATCAAGAAAGATAAAGCTACTATTCCCTAGAAGCAAACTAAGGAAAAATTGAATTTTTTGGAGCTTGTCATACTATCTTGGTTTTATCAACCTTTCATGATGTCGTCGCTGACAAATATCTTTCCTAATAAGGGCTATTTTATTCTTCAAAACTAAAAAACTCGAGGAAATTTTTTTCAAATAAATCAAAGGAGCTCCAACAAATTTTTTTTAGATGATTGTCCATCAAGTTATTTAAATTTTCAACACTTAAAAACTCGAAAAAAAATTTTGTTTAAGTGGGAAGCATGATCTAGAAGAATAATTGACGTGATTCTAGATGGCTCAGATGTAGTTCTAATGATGCAA